AAAACTATAGGAGGAGTAGCTTTTTAAAGAATTTCACAGAAATTTCTATTTTTAGTAACCATGGCAACACCGTTCATCAAAATCAAAAACTGATAAAAAGAATTATGTATCTTAGTGTAATCTACTTGTGTGCCAAGATATATTGAAATCAGACCAAAACTGAAGGAGTAGCATTTTGAAACAATTTTCAGAAATTTCTATTTTTAGTAACCACAGCAACATCATTCATCAAAATCAAAAACCGATACGTAGAATTATGTACCTTAGTGTAGTCTACTTGTGTGACAAGTAATACTGAAATTGGACCAAAACTGTAGGAGAAGTAGCATTTTGAAAGAATTTCACAGAAATTTCTATTTTTAGTAACCACGGCTACACCGTTCATCAAAATCAAAAACCGATATACAGAATTATGTATCTTAGTGTAGTCTACTTGTGTGCCAAGTTATATTGAAATCAGACCAAAACTGCAGGAGGAGTAGCATTTAAAAAAAAATTGTTTACAGACAGACAGACAGCTAGGCACCGGACAGACGCCAGACGCATTACTATCGCATAAGCTCTTCTGGTCTCTGACCAGTAGAGCTAAAAATGGAAAAACAGAGACAAAAAAGTCAACTTGATTATGGATTCCTTCTTGCTAATTTTCACATACTAGTATTTTAACTTTAAAAATTATTTCAAGCCCATAAAACTGTAGGATGCATTCAGGGTTTTCCCTTTATTTCAAAGTATAGGGTTAGAGATCAATTGTAACAGGCTTGGAGCTAAGGTTTATGATGAATCTCTGTAGACCATACAACAATTAAACTTTGATTTCTGTTATTTCAAAACAGCATTTTTGTCAATTGATGGGGTCAATTTGGTCAATTCTTAGAGAAAACACTGATGTATTTGACAATTTTACAAAACTTTGACCTCCCAGAAAAGAGTATCACTGATCCCTAATCTGACAGTTAACATTCCATTCAATATAAACCATACACTAAAGTGTATTTTTCCTAGTTTATTTTCTTTATAAGAGATTTACTTACCCAATCTTTGTATGCAAATGCCAAAATACCAATAAGGAGTTCCATAGCAAAAATCAGCCCAACTGCCACAGAAAACTGAAAATATAATCACACTTACTTCATATAAGAAATATCAAATATGGGCAACAAAAATCAACATAATGATAAAGTGCACCACCGGGGTACAATATATGTGAGTCTTGAATTATATGCTCACATTTTATTATTTATATTTATTGTCACAACCTCTGGCCTTGGTATATAATAAACTTAAACTGATGATGATACTCTAGAGAATTTGACTTTGGGAGAAGTATTTATTCCCCCCCCCCACCCCCCCAATTAATGAATATCTCTGTGATATACATTTATATGTTGGAATTTTACTAATATAATAGATTAATAGCCTAAAACAACCAAAGCTTTAATTGTCATTGATTTGAAAATATATGTACACTATAATCAATTTTTTGAAATTTAGCATTGCCATTTATATTAATTAACTGGTAAAATCAATGAACAGCATTAAATTTTAAAAGGTTTTTAAAAAGTTGCTGGTGCAAACAGCAGGATTTCAATGGAAATAGTGCTTCACAAGATTTATGAATCACATTTTTTGATGAAGTAACATTACATACGATTTATGACACACTTACAAACATGAGCAGACAGGTGTTCTCCCTGAGGGCCCCGATACAGCCACAGAAGCCGATGATGAACATGACCCCACCAGTGACGATGAAGAATAGAGCGGGGTCTAGGGTCACACTGGTGATCTGTCCTATATTGGAGAACATGTCCTTCTCTGTCCAAGCCCATAGTCCTATTGCACATATCCCAGCGCCAACCAGCTAAAATAGAGAAATATATACATAATTCCGTATCAGTGGGAATTTTAGCCAGACACAAATTTAGCGATTTGCACTTAAAAATTGGTATTTTATTTTTAGCGAAATGTAATTTTAGTGATTTTAAAAAGCCCACTAAAGAGTCTATTACAAATAAAGCGCAATTAATTTTTAGCGATATTCAATTTTAGCGATCTTGGCATCCTCGCAAATAATGCCAAAACTAAATCCTCGCTAAAAATTCTGCTTGGTAATGGTATTAAGAAAATTATGGCATAAGTAAACAAAGGTTATATTCACATTGTTTGTGATTACTATCCAGTCATGGAGCAGGGGAACATTGATTGCCCATTGTGACCCCATCCTAAACCCCTGGAAAAGGTCAAGATTTAAACAAACTTGAATCTACACTTTGAAAGCTTTCAAATATTTCCTCTTTTCTGGTCCTGAGGTTCTTGAGAAGATTTTTGAAAGACGTCATAAATTGTTCATCTTTTCTGAATTATCTCCCCCTTGAAAGAGGGCATGAACAAACTTTAATAATCCCTATCACTCTAGAATGCTTTTGCAAGTTCAGTTAATACTGACCCAGGGATTTTTTTGAAGTCTAAACACTTTTAAGTATAACTGTAAAACAGGAGAAAGGGACAGTTTATATCAATATTTCATTTTTTTTTCAAGTGCAAAAAGGAATTTCAACTGGCTTTTACTAGGAAACAAGACAATTGTCACCACCACCCTCCCCTTTTGTCTTTTTTATTTTTACATTTTATCAGAGTGCAGGTGCTTTTACTGTAATCTTAGAGTATTTTTTTTTTATTTATAACAACTTACAATAAAACACTTACTAGATATGGACATTATGATACTTAAATTATGACAGTAAGTAATAAGTTTTATGTCAATGACTCTTGAGGTCCGTACTTTCAGAATTTTCTGTCAAACTCTTTATTTTTTGATTTGAAAATCTTGAATAAGTCCTAATCTAACTAAAACACCCATAAAAAACATATCTTTGCAGGTTAATTTTCATGCAACATGTCTCGGAGTATATACCTCTAAAAATGCAACATAAAAATTCAACATATAGAAGTGAAACATCATATTTTATTTAGCTATGTGCCAAATCACATCCAATTATTGTTAAAACTTAGGAAAATCATAAATATTCATTTGTCAAGAAAATATTTGAAATTTCTATTTGAGAACACTAAAAAATTGATGTTGATTCAGTCAAAATCTTTCGGAGAAAAAGCTCAAAATATCTATATTTTAAATATTTCTCAAAATCTTGTATGTTTATATGCTATTTTTTCTTCACAATTATTTAAAATTATATCTTAGGTTAGCAAAAAAACATACTTTATTATAGTTGACCAGAAATTTTTTACAATACAGCCTTTTGAACACCTATTTTTTCAATAGATAAAGATAATCAAAATTTTATATTGGTGTGTAAAATTAAAACCGGATCAGTAAAAGTGTGGACCTGCCTTAAACATTATTCTTTTGATAGGAAAATTTTGCCTCTATGGTGTTGCCATAAATAAACTTTTCTTTAAGACTGTACCCTTTCCCAATTTTGCCACATGAACATCTGCGGATAATATTCTTTCTTTCATAATTCCACTTTCCCCCCTTCAGTTTTAGTTGACAAGAAACCATGTGCATGTTCAGAGTTCCTTCTTTTCCCATATCCTCTATGGTCTTATTTAATAGGATAATTGCACTTTAACTGGAAGTTCGTTCACCTTGTCTCAACTTGAAACTAGAAAAAATGGTTTTCTTTCGAAAGGATGATTTCCTAATGGAAGTTAGTAGCTCAGATTCAGGCTTTTTCTCTTTAGGTTGAGAGTAAACTGGTGAAAAAAAAAACAGGCACAAAATTTCTGATGTACTTCTGAATTAGCTATTTTTCTTTAACATCTTGTAACCTTGAGCACCATCTGCTTGAATCTGTCCATTTTTAGTTTTTAAAATCAACCATATATATAGTCTATTGATATTAATACTTTAAAAGCTTTTGAACTCATTTTTGTTGAACTTGGACTTTAAATTACAGTTCAGCCTGAATTGTAAGCAATAAAAACAAAACACTGTATTAGCTAGCACATAATATTGGCTTGCATTTATTTGTTAGTTTTCCAACCTGTTGCATGTAATAAACATTATGAAATATGAATATATGAAATTGGCATCAGCATAACCCATTTAAATTGGACTGTCAGAAATAATTTCTAGCTTTGATACCACTGAAAAAGTGCTATGTTTTTGCCAATACAGTGGAAATTGCAAAGTATGTAAACAAGATAATTAAAAGAGTACTATTATACCATGTGTTTGAATTCAACTTATACACTACCACAAACCAACCAACCAACCAAAGTATGCATAAAAAAAACCTTTAGCTTTGTTATTGGTTTTTCTCAAAATACATTTATGTACTTGCTGTCTCTTGTTTATTGTTATAAAAGTCTGTGATATCAGTTGTATTGATGTTTATTAAATTAGTGACATTTTATTCTACCCTACATATTTTACAAGAAGGTTTTTTTCTTCTTATAAGCATGCATTTTGTGATTTTACACAATTCCTCATTTTAGTATGGATTTCTTTGTATTAAACTTTCTTTTGCTAGCTTTGAGAATGTTGTTAATGAGCAAATGATCAGTGTACATACACAGGTACACTTAAAGTTTGTGTACAAATAATTTGTTTGAGCAAGTTGGACTTTATTTGCTTAAAAAATCAAACCGATTTCTGAATGATTTAGCTCAAATGTTTCTATTGTTAGTTTTGACATTAGTTATACAGACTTACACCTCATAATAAATATTTTTATGACAAATATTTTATTAATTTTATTTTTATTATATTTCTTTAAAAATCTTCTTCTTAAGCATAGCAAAGCCATAATTTATCAAATTTATATGGAATCATGCTCATAAATCGTGGTGTCTGAAAATTTTATCCCTCATGCAACAATTCTGGTTGGAAGGAAAATATCTGTATTTTAGTCTACCTGAGAAATATTATATCCTTTTAAAACTCAAACTAAGAATAGATACCAAGGTTTTTAAGGTGTACCTTACAATTTCTAAGTCTTGACATATTGAAAGTTTAACGAGCAGTAAAAATTTCTGTGCGTTAAGTTCTGTAGTACGTAACAATATTAAAACTAAGGTTGATTTACCTCCCTTTAGGTGTACATCATGAAATAAAGATATGAAATGTAATAGAGAAGTCAAAATTAAATTTACAAAATCTACTTTTAGTAAGACCAAATGGGATAATTTGAATAAAGTGTACTTCAATTTTATAAACAGCTAAAGTAATTTACTGATAAATTTCTTGGCATCTACAGCTAAAACTATAGTATAATTTTGTTAGTTTTGACAAATGCAATTACTACTGTGAAATCATTGAGGGGGCCAATTTTTGAGGACATAACTTATGTATTCCCTTATACCTACAAGAGGATTTGAAATTGTAACCCTCATTAATCAATTTGTGGAGGATGTTACTGTACATCACTAAATTTTAGCAACACTATTTTTGTGAGATAGTCCTCGGCTCTTTATTTTAAAAGTGAGACAAAATTTTCACAAAATGTGGCTATAATTGTTGCCCTATTTATTCCAATTGAATACTTTTTTACATGGGAATGAAGAATTTGCAAGCACACTGTCTCACATAATTATGCGAAAATAAAGTTCTCATGAACAAAAAGTGATTTACAGAATTTTGTGGATGGTAGGTAGTAGGTACCTAAGAATTCCATAAAAATATTATTATAATGAAAGCCAGCTATTTTAATAAGAGTCTGGGTTCAAATATGATATTTGTATGAAACCAAATAATATTGAGCTTATTGCTTCATTTTCCATAACATAAGGGTTTAAAGCATTATATCACTCTTAATTAAAAGTCTTTTTTTGTGACTTTAAAGCCATCAAGACTGTATAATTCAAAGAGGGAATTGCAGTAATAATTAAGGGTTAATTATAGAACAGAAAATCCTGGAAGAATGGAGTTTATTGTCCATTATGTTCTTATTCACCAGTTCAACCAAACATAAATTATTAAAATAAAATTTAAAACAGTTTGATACTGGACGAGCTCACATGAGTGAGTGCAACAGACTTAAGGGAATTGTATACAGTACACAAAACAATCTTTAGTTCAACGGCTTATTCAAATATTCATAATATTCTATAACAGAAAAAGGCTCATATAAAGCAACAACACTGAAAAGAAAACAATACAAGGAGGGGGGGATAGTTTGTTGCAATGTATCAACAAACTTTGAAAAACTTCAAACACCCCAAAATCTACATTTTCTCATACTAGTATGTGATTGAATCATGCAAAGCATGGATTCAACCTTTTCACTTGTAAACATATAAACAATCGATTTCATTGCCGATAAACCTATAAGTATATTGTATTAAACAAACACATTTTCCCTTTACTTTTATAAACATATTTTGTGGTTTACAATTTACTTAAAAACACTTTTTTATTCACAAGAAGTTCATTTTCGTGTAAATGCGCAGGACAGTCTGCTTGCAAAAATTCATTCATTGTTAAAATCATTTACTACTCCAACATATATTTTTCAGTTGGTATTCCTTTTTTTCTATTGATGTAGAACTTTGTCAATGAATTGACTTTGCAACATTTTGCCAAGAATGATGTATCATATTTGATCAATATAATGAATTTGTCCCAGTTCTCTTTGAAAATTTTCAAAATTAATTACATGTATTTAAAAAATTCTATATTATTTGTGGAGGATCAACTAATCAACTACTCCTACAAGTAAAAGCCCCATTTATGATGGCCTTACACTCCTTATATGTTAAAAAGTGCCACCTCAAAGGTATTTTAATGTGAACCTCTAACACGCTCTAGTAGAAGATCAACCATCCTTACACATTGCTCCTTTCTTCAATATGAAAATTTATACTAAACTCTCAAGTCAAATTTTCAGTAGGAGCACTAAAGGATTGTCTTTTAGTAAGTTTAATAGTAAATTTGAGAAAAAAAGGAAGAAAAATAGATGTCTTGACTTGGTTGTTTTTCAGCAGTCCGTTACCTTTTTACAGCTCAGCTTTTGTTACCGTACATACTGGTATATAATTTTTTTTTTAAATAAAGCCTACATATACCTTTTCCTCAGCTTTTAGTATCTAAAGTCCAAACTAAATGATCTCTTTGGAACTCTTTAAAGAAACATTTTCCTTTCAATTTAAATTAAAAATTCATTTAATGCTATATATTTATATTACTTTACCCTATTAAAAGGTTGTCTCCCTTAATCACATTTATTAAAATCAAAAGCAACACATTTTCAGATAGTT